ACCACTGGATCTTGATTGATCTAGATCAGAAGGTTCCAACATGCAAGTGCACCATGAGCCATCGAAAGCGTTCCTCACTGAATTCCAGTACCGTTTCTGATTTGGGCCAAGCATTTTTTATAACAATACCCCCCATTTTTGTTGATGACCAGACCTGTGTTGTTTATTTTCTCTTTTTTATTTTATTTTGTTTATTATTTTCAAAAGTATTTTTTAATAAGTCATAAAAAAAATCAAGAAAATAATAATTAGGATTAGTTTCTTCCTAAAATTATTAATTAATTAATTAATCATTTTAATGCAATTTTATTAATTTAAAATCAAATAAGACTTAGGTTCTTTATTTAATTTAAATTATTTTCTTAACAAAAAATACCAAAAATATTAGAATTAGGATTCATTTCATTCAACTTTTATTTTCTTAATTAAAAATAAATTTATAATTAATCATTCTCTTAGCAAAAACAAAAAAAAAAGATATTCTTGTTGTTTATTTTTATTTACTAGGTTTTTAGACGTTTCTTTATTTCGCGCGCTTATATTATTGTGTATCTGCTTATGGTTTGGAATTTTATCGCGCGCGTATTTTATTTCCTGATTATGTATATGCCCATGCATTGTAATAGTTTAGGATTTAAAATTTCACAATTTTAATTTCCGCACTTTACATTTTAGTCAGATATAACTGTAACTGTCCCGAAGTCTTGTAATAGTTGTAGGACTTTATTTCTCGCTTTATATTTCTTATATGCCCACATACAAAGTTTTAAGTAATTAGGCAAGAATTAATCAATTAATCGTTAGATCACTAACCTCAAGATAATATAACTGAAAAAAACACACTTCTCACACTTGCATCTTTAGGGTATTCCTTACTTGGTTGCCTCGGAAATGGTTATGTCCCTCGAAGGTAGGGATATCTTAGCAAAGACCCTCAATCTAAAAGTCACCATAAAGATCATGGTCCCTTAAAGTCCCTCGAGTTGCCTACGAGAAGTGATCTTGTCCCTCGATGTTGCCTATATGATGACAGTCCCTTCGAATGCTAAGATATCCTTACATGTTGCCCTCGATGACCATAGCGTCCCTTTTGATAGTCCCTCAACATTCAGCGATAGGGCTACCTACTCACTAATAGTAGGAAATCACTATCTAAAGGTAGGAGGAAAATAACATCCTTTTTTCGAGTAGGTAGATAACTGTTAGGTACTTGCTCATGAACAAATTTTTTCACTTACACACTTCCAAAAACTACTCTAAAAAACGCTTTATCACACTCTTGAGGACTGATACAAGAGTTACCATAAAGCGAAAAATTTCAAAAACACACAAACACACAAACAGTTTTCAAAATGAGCAAGTACCTAAGAGCCCGTGGAAAATCACAGATGGAAAGGGTGCTAACACCTTCCCTTTCCATAATCTACCCCCTTACTCAGAAAATCTCGTAAAATGTATTTTTCTGTTCTTTTCACCCTTTCCTTTGTTGGATAAAAGAAAGATCGATGGCGACTCTTGCTTACCGCGACATTTGCGAACTAAAAACATAAACCAGTATTAACAGTCGGTTCTGCCACCGCATTACAATACCCACACAACTCTTTCTCTGTTGTAGTAGAAATTGTTCCACCTGAACATCATCACATACATCTAGCTTCTTTGATCAGAAGAGACTAGATGATAGAGAGAATGTCCTTGACCTATGAAGTTGACCTTCATATTCAAGAGACATGGTTGAGGTGACAAAACTCTACTAGAATTAGAGATCAATCTCTGCACTTCTTCTAACTTGGATCAGAAATAAACTGAACCAAGAAGTAACCACTCAGTTGATCAACATTCAACCAGTCCATCAATCTAAGACATATTTTTCTAGATAACACATCTTAGATACACAACCCAGATGCCTCCTCTTCCAGATCAGGAGTAGGTTCTAAGCACATGTGATCAACACATATTTGTTTAGAACCCAAAGTATCTGCCATTCAACAGAAAGTTGCACACCTGCTGACATGGTGTCCCAACATCTGGTAGGACATCAGCTCCCTTCTTCTGGAACACAAAATCGAGCTTAGTTCTGAAGCCATTACTGCTTTTAGAAAATCAAAACATCCCTTGATCACCTTCAAGGTCTTCAAAATAGTTCAAGCTCCAGCTACACCAACACAGTAAGACTCAGAGTCACTTTCTTGATTAGGTCAGGAATTAGGAAGACTCTTTTTAGAGACCAAAATAAATGACTCTATATTTTCTTCAATAATCTATAAAATAAATGACAGGTTTCTTGAAAAATACATCAACCACACACAAAAATACCTTTATGAGTGGAGTTGAGAAATAAAACTTAAGTATTGTTGGCAACTTTTTAAAGTTGGTTGACACAGGCTTGCACATATCCCATCATCATAGGATAAACCTGTTGAGGAGACCAAACTCTAATGACATGTCAGCCAGGGTTACAACAGATACCATGCAGCGGAAACACACACCAAACGCTCCTCAACATCCTTCAGGCACAACATACAACCTTGCACACGCTCACCACAATCCAGGTGCAAACACAAAAAAGGTTTAAAAATAAATCAAACTTCAAAGCAGCTCACCTCCAAAGCTACAAGCTTGATAACAACAGACATGTCCAGTATACCCCCTGTCACATATAGTCCATCCTCCACTTCAAGAGACCATTAAAAAATAATATGAACTATTCAAATTCAAACAACTTTTCAGTAGAAACCTTCTACCTTGCTCATAAACCAGAAAGTATTCCCCTCTAATCTCATCCAGAAACAGACAGGATGCCTGCTCCTATACCAATTGAAATTCTGGTATGACAGAACTCAGATGTCCTATGACATGTTAAGACATCTAATCTGACTTAAACATTACGAAAAGGTATAAACAATTAAAAACAGTACTGAAAAGCATAAACAACACACAATAATTTTTAATCCAGTCCAGAACAACCTTTCTACTCTAGGGGCTACCAAGCCAGGGATAAAGTCCACTATAATAGTATCAATTCAAAGATCCTACAACAAACATACAAGTTTATAGTCTTACTTAATCACTACCTGTGCTAACTTTCTATCTACGACTCACCTATATATGAGACCCTCCTCAATCCCTCATCAATCACAGATAACGATTCAATCCCTCATCAATCACAGATAACGATTGAATCAAAACAAGAAGACACATTTCCATGACAATACCTAGCCAAGACTCTTGACTAAGAATAATACTTAGAGTTGCTTACAAGCTTCCTCCAAGAACAATACTCAACTCATTACGTCACAACTTCTGAGTGAGAATAATATCAACTCTCCTAGAGAACGACACAAAGACAAAGTCCTAAACTTCTACATCTTGGACTCGTGCCTTTCCTAGGTTACAAAGACTTCTATTTATAACCTATACCCAACTGAATTTGGACCTTCAATCACAGCTTATCAGCTGTTACAATTCTGCAGAAAATGATGCTGCAAATAAGGTCTTCAATCATTAATTTCCTAAAATATCTTCATATATTTAGAAACTGCATAATCTTTAATATTCTGACTTGATTCTTCTTGACCTTTAAATTTGTGCCACATAGGATTGCATAACATTTTCAGAATATTCTGCATCTGTTAAATCTTAATAGAATCCACTAATCGAGCTCAGCTCAGACGCGATGTCGTATGACCCTGCATATGACATCTTATCCGACATGTTCCGGATGATGAAATACTTCAACTCAACATGTCCTAACATAAAATAAGATTTCTTGCTTAACCTGTTCTTCTTAGCAAATAATCACATTCTTTTTAACATATTGCTGCTACATTTGTTTTACAAAAATTAATATCAATCCTTAAAACTAAAAAATTTACGCTAAACAATATAGAACTAAATAATTTTTTTCAACTAACACAAACACATATTTTTTCACACAATGCAGAACTTAATTTATTTTTTTTCAAATTCATCTCCATATTATAATATTTACATGTTCCTACCTGTCCAAATTCAATTTCATGTGTGTTTTGTCAATCTGGATTGCACAAATGATATATCATCTAGTTGAATGGGGGATTATTACTAATGATTGTTATTGCATGCATAAGAGAGGGTCACACACTAATTTGAAAAATAAAACACACGGATTTATGAGCTTACACTTTGCTAAACACCCTATCTGTTCCTATATGTCCCTACAATCATACTTACATAACCAACATTATATTTTCATGGACTTCTAACAAAGAAATTATAACTATTATGAATGAAACAAAGATAAATATGCAAGTTGAACCAATTGACTTTGGAGAGAAACTCAAAAAATTCATATTAAAAAAAGGACAAAAGATGGTCTATCTCTCATTAATTCACCATCTTATATAATTTAAACTAAAAAACAAAAATCATCATTATGGTTTTTAGGAGGTTTATGTGAAATATGTGCTAAGTAGAGGTTTATCTGAAATATGTGCTAAGTAGAGGTTTATGTGAAATATGTGCTAAGTACATTATTAGCTAAGTTTGTAGCTTTATAAAATGGGTATGCTAACCATGCCTTAAGAGCATAAGTTAAAAATACTATGATTAAAAAATTTAAATATAATTAAATAAAATAATGTCATATTTAAAATTTTAAAACATATATACAGTTTAAGAAAATATTTTTACAAATAACTTACTAAATTGTGTCCTTGAAATATATGTTAGCTTTTTTTCTTATATAATAATTTCTAATCATATCCTAGAACAAAAGAATGCTAAAACAAAACAAAACAAACATATTTCATTAAAATTTATACATTGATATTGATGCACACTAATTCCATCCCTTTCCAATAAAAAAAATAGAAGAAAAGAGAATCTACACATTAAATAATCACTTAAAAAACAAGTCAAATTAAATTTAAAAACAAAAAGTGAGAACAAATTTTCTTCCTGTTTTCACAAAAGAAGAAAACTCGAGAACTAACCAACATAGAGAAGAAAAAAACTCAGTTTTACACCAAAGAGCTGTTATCTGAGAATTGAACATGCACCGAAGATTGTGAGTTACCATTGATTGGTGCATACTCACTAGTATTTGTTTTTGTAAAATCAGTACTTGCAAGACTAGCTAAATCCACAGCTGGCCACATAAAAGACGGTTTAAAAGGTGGCACATGAGGCACACTCACAGACCCAGACAAAATCTGAACAATTGTTTGCAAATTTGGTCTCTCACCTGCAATAGGATGAGAACAAATCAATCCCAATTTCAATATCCTCTCCGCCTCTTCAACATCATAATCACTCCCAACACTTTGATCAACAGCGTCCAATATCCTCCCTTCGCGATGCAAATACCAAACCCAATCAACCAGAAACTGATACCCTTCTATCTTAGTCCAAGAAGGTCTTTGTCCACACACTGTTTCAAGCAACACTGCACCAAATCCATAAACATCTGATTCTCTTGTTGCTTTTCCTGTGTGGAAACATTCTGGTGCTATGTATCCCATTGTACCTTGTACGCCTTCTAGTTCTGCTAAATATGATGTTTTTTCATTTTCTAGTGCACGCGCTAGGCCGAAATCACCTAAGCGCGCGTTGTAGTCTGAGTCAAGCATTATGTTGCTTGCTTTGAGGTCTCGGTGTACTACTGTCTGATCGTATTCGTTGTGAAGGTAGTTTAATGCAGAAGCCACGCCTGAGAGGATTTTGTACCTGAGATGCCAACTTAGCGGAGATGTGCTTGTTCCTTCTTCGCAGAATATGTGACTGTCTAAACTTCCTTTAGGCATGTAGTCATAAACCAAGAGTAATACTCCATTTTTGTGGCACCATCCTGCATATTATTTCCAAAAATTATGTTAAGGATAAATCAGTTGTCTGAATATTTTAGGCTAACAGCCCAAATTAGTTTCTGATAATACTAGTCATATTCAGTTTAGTTATATCAGAAATATTAGTTTGGTAGGTTATACTTAAGAATAAGATGATTGTATATTGAGTGACCCAATAACTGTGATCTAGTAATAGGTAGTTATACAGGTTTTTAATATATTGATACCATGATAAAAATTGGTTACAGTCAGCTGAATTCTTACAAAAACGATTTGTCTAGTAAAAAATACCAAGTGAAACTTAAATAATTTATAAACGTGACTCTTTACGAACAATCATTCTAACTCAAACTTACAAAACTGACTTGTAAGCTTACACTCGAAGTCTTTACAACTCTCTTTAGTAAGTTTGAGTTAGACTGCTCCTTTATAAAAACTACATGCCTATTGTTATCTCTTTATGCAGTGACAACACGGTTAGTCTTTACTGACCAATTGTTAAATTTATTGACCAAATCAAGCCAAAGTAATCCTATATTACTTTTTATGATAGACTAGTTGGCAATGCTTAGAAGTTACGAAAAGCTGAATTGGTTGGTATACATAATAATAATAATATTATCATTATTGATTAAAGATAAAGATAATAACTAGTGGTTTTTATCTTCCTATAAAATGAAAGACTTTGGGAAACACTGGCCGGCTGAACGGCTTGTTTTCAACTGGACCCTTAATTATTTATACAAGATAATAACCAAGTTTACAATGTGTCTGATCGGTAAAAAAAAAGTTGACAAATGTAGTTGAATAAAAAAATTGACAAATATATTAAATACTTCCCCCATTTCAAAATTACTATCGTCTTTTTAGCAAATAAAATTTATTTGTTATTTTATTTTCACTTTTCAATTTAATAATAATTATAATTTTTTTAAGTGTGTCATTTACTTTTGACTCTGAACACTGCTTCCAATATATTAATAAAATTAATTTTGTAAATGTGTAATGTCTTACGATAATATTATTATATATTTTAATGCAAAAACATTAAATGACAATTATTTTGAGTAAAAAAAAAAAAGTTGACAATGCAGCTGTGTCAAGGAAAGAAAAGTTGACAATGTAATAGTAACCGATAATGTTATGTTTCTTATGTTGACAAAATCTGGTAATGTTACATTGGAAATCCAGATTGAAAAAAGTTATCATGCTTGATATTTCAATTTAGCGTTGATCTAGTATAAGGGTTATGACAAAGGAAGGTTCAATGAAATGAAGGTGTTAGTATAAGATAAACATTGATGACTACAAGAACAAAAGAACGAAAAGTACTCTATATATTATTGGAACATAGTAGCAATAAATAATTGACTATACATAAGAATAAAATGTCACTTTCATAACAAAACAAAACCAAAAACAAAAACAAAAACAAAATTCCAGCTAATTAAGTTAAAGTACGTAGCTATATATATCTCATTACGTTTTATTTTAGATTATCATAGATTCACAAGAATGCCTTTTCTCTTTTAAAAGACCAAGACAGCAACCTTCAGCAAATAATAGCTGGTCAATATTATCACGTACTATTCAACTTTCAAACATTCCTAGACCATTATTCCAGATTTAAAATCAATGTTCATTATATTAATTAATCAATTTCCTTAACAAAAAATACTGAAATAAATTAAATAAGATTAAATAAAAATGAAACTGACCTTGTAATTTAACAAGATGCTTATGACGAAGACGATTGATGATGCTTAGTTCAGCCAAGAAATCATCAGTACTTTTCATTTTATCTCTAGAAAACATCTTAACAGCAACCTCCAAATTATCCTTAACCAATGTTCCTCTATAAACGACACCGTATCCACCTTGTCCAAGTTTATTCTTCTCATCAAAATTACTAGTAGCTTTCTTAAGTTCCTGATAACTAAACTCTCTCGGTGTTCCTGGTAAACTCTTCAATTTTCCCATTATCTGAGAATTTGAACCGTTCTCATCACTTTTCTTTTTCTTAAAAACATAATAATACCAAAATCCCCCACATAGTAAAATCAAAACCAAAGCAGGAACACCAACAGCTAATCCAATCGTTAACGCTTTGTTGTTTTTTTCATCAAAAACTTCTATTGAAATGTTCCATCTAAGTACACAGTTTAACTCAACACTGCTTCCTGTTGAAGCAGAAAACCCAAAATAAGAGTCCTGACTCAGAATCTGTTTTAGATCAAGACCCGAAGATAAAATCGGTTTGACCGGTTTCTCCACTATAGGTCCATCCTTTGAAGGCTGCTCCGCTATATAGACATCCATGTTTTTCCGGTCACCGTCGTATTCAACCCATAAAGCGAATATCTTAGCAACTTTCGGAGCGATTTCGAAATCGAGAGGAACTGTAACGTTGGAATGGACGCTGTTTATATTTAGTCCCATGTGGTTGTTGTCAGGGTCGTAGAATTGTTTAACGGTGTCGAGTTCAACGGCGATGAAACGGTTTGTGGGATTACCGTCGGTGGAGGCGTTTGTTAAACCGAGGTAGCCGCCGTGGCTGTTGAGAGGGATGGAGATGGAAGGTGCGATGAGGAAAGCGAGACCTTCACCGGGAGTTTGGTTCATGTAAGGTAACATGTTGATGAGGAAAGAGGTGTTGAAGGAAACGAGTTTTCCGGTGGTGGAGGAATCTTCCCAGAGTTTGAAAGGGTCTCTGAAAAAGATTCTGCCGGAGTTGTTAAACATGGAGACGATCGTTGTACTTCCTGCGCTGTCCGGCGTGACCTGGAAGGCGTCGAGGTGGATGGTTGCAGAGGCTAAAGTTACGAAAAAGTGTTGGTTGCTGGTATTGAAGGGTCCGTAAGAGTAAAATTCTCGTTTGAGTATTTGAGCTTGGGAGGTTATTGATGGGAAGAGGAGAAGAATGCCGATGAGGGCGGTGAGGTAAGCCGTGTAGTGGTGGTGGCGGCAGCGATGCTGAATCGGAAGCATCTTGTGATTGTGATGTTTGAATTGAGAATGGTGGTGATGTTAATTATGGAGAGTTATTATAACGATTACTTAACCTTTTTTGATGAAAAGCAAAATTTGAAGGTGATTTTAATATCTGCAGCTTGCATTGCTTTGGCTTTGTTTTTGTTTTCTAGGAAGTTTCCATCTTTGAAATTGGTGTTTTTGTCTATTGAAAATATTATTTTAATGGGACTATAGATATAGACATGTGCAGGGAAGAGACAATTAAAAAAAATGAAATGTGGTAAATTATATGGAAAATGCTTTTTAAGACTTTTAATACGCATTAAGAACTTTGTCATAGAAACAAATAGATTAATAAGGAAATAGATAAAGCAATATTATTGATGTGATAAAGTAATTATATCATAAAATGATTAAAAAGAAAAGAGAGGTTGAATGAATGATGATACTTAAAGAGGTCAAAGTATTGAAATTATATATTCCGTATGTTCCATAGAATATGTTTTTTTAATAAAAGGTAATTTTTTTTATATTCATAAATTTTAGTTGCATATAAAAAATTAGTTTAAAATAAAATAATAATGTGATATTGAATAACACTAGTTTATTAGATAATAGATATCTATTTGTATTGGTCAAAACATACCGGTGTATGTGATATCTTTATATAGGTAATAAATTAGAGTTTGTCTATGACAGTGAGGGGTCTTGTATGGTGGTGTTTATGGTATTTGTGGTAGAATGAGTAACTAGTTCATGTGAGGTGAGAGACTTTGTGATATGTGTAATGCATGTTAAGTTATGATTTCTCGGTCTCCCGTTACGGGAGAGGAATTTATAGAGGTCTTTGGGTCTATGATTTTTTTGAGAATGATAATCGTCCACTAGTCAATGATGGATTATTTAATCTTAACTTTTTAGGAAGACGTGGATCAACTATTAACTTTGACTTCAATCTGAAACAAAATGTCTTTCTCTATGTTTCCCATAATTGGGAGTGTAAAAGACGCTTTGGGAGAAATGATTCTCACTAGGGGGCAACATATGGTCATCACCCCTTCTGAGAGCTATAGCTCTCCCGCCTTAGCTAGGTTTTTTTCAAATATAACACTATAAAATCTCTCAAGCGCATGGGCTTTAATAAAGGGCAGAGTGCTTTTAGACTACTGTTGGCTGAAGATTTTGATATTATGATTCGAAATAAAATGATTGGGTTTTGTTTGAATAAAACAAGTTTGATGATTTAGAATGGAAGAGAATGTTTGTTTCGAATGGAAATATTAAAGTTCAAGGTTTCGAATGATAGTTGTGGAGTGTAGTCTAAAGCATTGTTCGAAATAATGATGAGACTATATCTATGAGGGTTATTTCCGAAACGAATTCGAAATGAGGGTACCAAGGCGTTTGAAATTCAAACGTGAGCGGGATATTGGAAATTCAAAATACATAAGCATTGGAACGTTCGAGGACGCGTGGAGGCTAGAGGGAAGTATTGCTCTGCATGCTTCGAACGTGGCTGATTCTGATAACAAGACCGTTATGGTCGAAATAGTATAAATAGAGGTCTTAGTGTTAGGATTTCAGGGTGTCATATCTGTTGTACAAATCCAATAAAACATTCAAAATACCGCATGGATAGGGAAACAAATGCTCGAAAGATGTACGTATGATAACACCAACATTTACAATTCAATGAAAACTCTTTACATTTTCCAGTTTTGTCTTTCATTTCCGTTTCATTTGTGCTTCAAACATTTTATGTTTCTTGCCTTTACATTAAAGCCTTTACATTCGAAGTCATTTATTCCTTTCTTCATTTAAATACTTTTCTTATGTTCGAACCCTCTAAACATTTAGTAACTTTTGCATCTACTCATTTAATCCTGCCATTTACCCAATTTTAAGTCTTTAAACTTTTTTCATGAACATTCCTAATACCATATAGAAGTTATCCTTCGAACCATTCAGTATAGTAATCGAAGTGGATTGGATATCTTAGAAACAATTCTAATTTGAAGTCCTGAATATGAATACCAGTTTTACAATTAGACTTAACCAAACAACTATGTTCCATAGGATCAATCTAGTCGATCCTGCAAGTTACCAGAGAAATTGAATAACAGTCATTAAGTTTATTCGATAGTTTGGAAGACTAGCGGTTGTTCACCAGAAATCACTGTGAACAAATTGGCACGCCCAGTGGGACCGGTTGTTAAGAAAGTTGAAAGTAAAGATTTTTAGGATATAATCTTGTTGTGTAAGTTCTTTTCTGAATATCGATTTCGCTGTTATATGAACCTTAGAAGTGGTAAAACAACTAATAGTAACCAACCCTTACCCAGAAGAAAACGTAGTAGTGGGATGTCTAATCCAAACAATCAACAAGGGGAACAAATTGCCTCACATGGAACATGCACCAACACGTCTGTTTCGACGGGGACGTCTAACGCGATCCCTACGAACGCACAGTCTGTTGCATCTTCTACCAGTAGTGTGGCCACAAATGGAGCAAGTGGCATGACAACCAACGGTTCGATCCTGGGAAATACAGGGACCACTGGTTATCTTGCGGGATTTGTCCCACCATCAGGGACACAAACCCATTTCGCCACCCCACAAACTAGACCACCCGGTTTTGATGGCAACAGACACAGAAATCCCTCTTATGGGATGCCGACATCTTCTATAGCAGGTTTGCACAATTCCACATCAAATTCGTCACCACAATTTGGATCCGGATCTGGGGCCAACCAATTTATGACAAATACCCAAGGTTCAGTGGGTCACAATACATTGCCTATCTTAACCACAGAAAATCAGATGGCCTTTAGACAATTAATGGATGATAGTAACCATAATATGATAGGGGTGTTAGCGCAGACTATGCAAGAAATCTTTGCCCCAATAGTACAAAACGTAACTGTAACCAACAGAGAAAACGCGGACAACATGAGTCGAATAGCAGATTTTTTCGCTCCGCCAGAAAGATGTAGGCAGAATCAGGCGGGGGTTCGAGCGAACATACCCATCATAGAACAAATTGCTGATGACCCACCCTATAGACCAGCCAGAGAGGGGGTTAACTTGGGGGCAAGGGCGCAAAGGTTAGAAGCCCCAGTGATTCGAGAGGAACCACAAAGGGGAGTTATAGAACCAGGGGCAAGGGTCGAAAGGTTAGAGGTCCCAGAGTTTCGAGAAGAACAACCTAGAGGAGTTGTCATGGTGGGTCGACACCAAGATGCTGATGAAGTCGTTCATAGAATTCGAAATGACAACATCTTGGCAGAAAACAATTTAACCACCATGATAGAAAGGATTATGGCTCAAAACGGTCTCAATACAGGAATTAGAAGGCCAAACTATTCCTCTCCCATAGTAGATTATGTGATGCACACTGATTTACCAAGGGGATATAAAGTCCCTAAATTTACGAAGTTCGCTGGAGACACCAATGAGTTAACAGTCGAACACATAGCTAGGTATCTGACCGAAGTGGGAGATATAGCAAATAATGAGAACCTTAGGATTAAATATTTCCTAAGTTCCCTAACTAAGAACGCTTTCACATGGTTCACCACATTGCCTCATGGATCCATAGATACTTGGACTCTTTTGGAGAGGTTATTTCATGAACAATTCTATATGGGACACTCTAAAATAAGTCTGAAAGAGCTAGCCAGTGTCAAGAGGAAGTTTACTGAACCCATAGATGATTATCTGAATAGGTTCAGACTCCTGAAGTCTAGATGTTTCACAGTAGTTCCTATGAGTTAGTCGAAATGGCTGCTGGTGGCCTAGACTATTCCATTCGAAAGAAACTAGATACACAACACTTGAGGGATATGGCCCAATTAGCGGACAGGGTTCGACAAGTCGAAATACTAAAGGCCGAGAAGGCTAGGGTTTTTTAAAGTGGCAAGAAAGAAATGGTTTCCTATGTCGGAACTGAGGAAGTAGAAGATTATCCTGAATTCGAAGAGGTCGAAATTAATCTCGCTGAATTAAAATAGGCTCCACCTTATTCCTGTAAATTACTAGTTCCCACAAAAGGGAAAGAAATTATTGAAAATGAGAAGAGTGACAAGTTCCCAAAGAAGGTTTATACCTTCGACGTAACGAAATGTGATGAAATTTTTGATTTGCTTGTCAAAGATGGCCAACTAATAGTGCCATCGAATGTCAAATTACCACCTTTAGATCAAAGAAAGAAAAGAGGATTTTGTAAGTATCACAGTTTCTTAGGCCACAAAACCCCACAATGTTTTCTTTTTAGGGATCTGATTCAAAATGCAATCAAGGATGGTAGATTAAGGTTCGCTGACAAGCCAAAGATGAAGGTGGATGATGACCCTTTAGATGTTGCAGACACTAATTACTCTGACCTGCATACATTGGAGAGATAAATATGGTTGGAGCAAATGAAGGTGACACTCCATCAGAAGAGGAAAGCACAGAAGATGAAAACTACGTGTTAGTTGAAATCGAAAAGGAAGTTACTGAGGACTTCCATAAGGAACAAGAAGCTTTGATCGAAGCAGTTCCTTTAGTTGCTTCGAAAGAAATCCAGGCTACTGAAGGCCAGGAAAACCAGAAACAAAATTTGACACAGGCTACTGAAGGTTTGAGGCAAAAGTTGGAGAAAGTACATATCACACTGCCAGTTCTTCCTCAGAAGGAAATATGGGATACCTTGGGGGAGCCCAACGGAAAGTTCGATTACATGGTGAAGTATTCCGCCCCAGAAAGCTCAAAGACCCTAATTGAAGACATCAAACCTACAGGTTGGGGAGATACTGATATCAAAGGAGAAGATGTGGATGTTAACATGGTAAATATGGAGCAACCTTGTTCTGAAATGGAAGAAATGGAAAGGTACTTAGAGAAAGAAAAATACAAGATGGAAGACAGTTATGCTAGGGATGCCAGTCTCAAAGATTACCTTATGCTTTGCCACAAAGAGAATGATGCAATGATGTTGTGTCCCAGATGTAGCATCATTTGTAATCAGAGAATTG